GTTAGCATGCTGATGTTAGCCATTAGTACAGTCTTTGCAGAGGTGCTAGCATGAAGATTTTTAGTCTTGTTGAAATGTATTTTTTCAGTGCTGTGAATACAGAAAAGAAAATTATATTCACCACTACTGTATTCATGAGGATGACTCACAGACATCCCAATGTCCGATCTGTTTTATTCTATTGTATTTTAGCATTTGGTAACTATTTTCTTTGCGTTGTGTATAGGAAACAGTGAATAGTATAGGGGTGTTTTGCTTGTCGCCACCTTCACTGATCCCCATGGGAATCACTCATGGCCGATCCAATTTAGACATCTACAGCAGTTTACCTTTAACCCCTTGTCATTACACTCACAGCCATACTTAGCTCAGGAGCATCTATATTGCCAAGGATCAAGAAGGGGTCAGGGACAAGGGGACACAGCCGTGACTTTTGATCCTTTTAACTTCTAGGAAAGGTTGGATTTATAGTCTGCCATGCTAGCAGTTCACGGACACAGTAAACAGCCAGCAGTGTGAGAAATGGGTACAGTGTGGCCGCACCCTGACCACTGCTGCTGTTTCAGTCCTCACACGGCCCTGGTCTGAGGTCTCCTAAAGACATACAGTTAAATTTAGACTGGCTCCGATTGACCACAGACACAGCCAGATCTCCTGAAATCTGACCTCACTGTCTGCCCTCTAGCACTCCTCTGCCTCCATTGGACGATGTGTTTTCACTCAGTAACATTTGTTCACTGTCCTTGATTCCTCTGTTGGACCCCCTACCACCACCACACACACACAACTCCCTCTCTCTTCACTTTTCTCTCAACCCATCATATTCAGGGGCAGCTGACTGGAGCTGACTGGAGCTGATTTACGTCGTGTTTGCACAGGGTTAGTGCTCATCGTTCTGGAGGAAATTAAATCTTCAAGTTCCAGCACTGGCTGGATTCATGTTACCTAAAATACTGATGTGATTCTGGGAGGATCTTTTTCAATATCATTTGTTTGGACTGAGAGGGTTCATATTGTGTTCATCTGTGGGTTTAAACAATCACTGTCTGTATGAAAGCTGTGCACATCCAGCCGGCCTCAGATCCGTCTTTGTTGTATGTCACATGATCAGTTTACTGGGATTTGGGATATCATATTTATACATTTCTGAGCATTTGTTAGGATAATAGTGCTACTGTATGTACGTGTGTGTGCCCTTATGCACTTGTTACAATGAAAGTACAAAGCAGTCACACTGCATCATCTTCTAGTCATGTGATACCTGTCTCTTACTCTAGTGGCTAAGCATCATGAACACAGTGTAACTACTAAATTCTGTTATTGGCAAGTTTAGCTGATCACTTAGATTGATAGATTACTGACATCAGATGGGGCTTTCTTAAGTCGCATATTCAAAAAGATCTAAACAGACTAGCATGTTTTACTATGTGGTATTTACTTTTTTTTCTTAAAGGTTTTCATTAAATTATGAATATTGGTCCTATGCCTCCACCTTATGATTATTTCAGATTTTTAGATATGCTAGCTCCATGGCTCCAAGTGTTAGTTTGTGGGTCGATCCAGCCCTTTGGGCCAGGTTAAAAATATCTATTGGGTGGATTAACATGAAATTTTGTACAGACATTTATAGTCCCAAGATGATGAATTGTAACAAGTTTGGTGAGCCCCTGACTTTTCTTCTAGCGCCACCATCAGGTCAGCCTTGGCTGCACTTTGTGTTTAGTGCTAATTAGCAAATGTTAGCTTGCTAACACCCTGAACTAAGATGGTGGGCCAGATAAAGATTATGTGCCTACTAACTGTCAGCATGTTAGTATTGCCACTGTGAGCATGTTAGCATGCTGGCATTTGTACCTTCTTATACTTATGTTATTTATCTTTTATTCTTTTCTAAGCTTTTTACAGTGAGATGTTTTAATTTCTTTAAAAACTCTTTACTTAGTTATGTGGATGGCAATGTGTATGATTCAGCTTATCAACTAACCTAATTTTTGTGGCCTCCAGATTGCAGAATTTACTTAACATCTACAGCATATGTACAATGAACTGCAGCCTGAAACATTGTGAATAAATATCACAGCAATAAGTGATCACTTTTGCTCATATTGTTCTGGCACTGGAATCAAAGTTTCCAGGTAGTGTTATCATTTGATCACAGCTTAAGCATGACATTTTATCAGTGTGCTTTGTCAAAGTTTTGCTAGAATTGTGTTTTTTTTTTTTTTAGTTCCATCTGGAAATTAAGTGAGATGAACTTCATTTGTTTCTACATATTAATATTTTTTTCTAAAAATATGTGATTTTGTCTGAACTGAGCTTATTGGTGAGTTTGCTTGATTCATGACAAAAAGAAAAAAAACTTTACTCTAACAGCATTATGTTATTTTACTGACCGATTTCTGTTTTTATGTGCTTTAGAAGAATTAGGACTCAGCACCCTGTGAGATCAATTTTAGGAGGAGTACTTACCGGTGCCATTGCTCTACAATAGTCCTCATCCCCCCTGCTCCTCCTCCGCTTCTCCCAGTGCTCACTGGTCCATTAGAGGTTCTTGACGGCAGGTGGTGAACATGATGTTATCATCTATTACTATCACTGCTTTCCTCATCTCCTCCACCTACAGTATTCATGGTAACAGACGAAGAGACAGGGCTGAGATATACAGCTTGACAGACTTGATGGAGGTGTGAAGAAGCCAATTATATAGCCTCAATATAGGATATTCACAGACATGACTTTCTCTTTGTGTAAGTAACTGACATGTTGTCCTGTCCTGTTAGAGAGCTAAACCTGCTTTGTTGGTCTGTTATAACTGAGACCTACATGCACCGTCTCTGCATGCATTGTAATAATAATTTTTCTTACAAATCTTTGTCTGTTTTTCATCTAAATTAGCTAAAGATCAAGCCTGTGCTCAGCAGGGTTTCTTATGATATAGGGGAAGGTAGGAAGCACTGGCTAAGCAACTTGCGGCCTCAGAAAGTCTGACATTATTGAGTTCTATTACAGAACATTTTTTTATTAGAGTAAATAACACCTTTATGTGTGCAGTATCTGTTGTCTGTGGAGGAGACACAGATGGCTTTGGAGACAGTGGTACATGTTTTATTAATAAATTCACTGCCCAGTTATAGCATTAGAAAAAAAAATGGCTGCATAATGCATAGCCCTGGTTGCCTTTGGAACAAGATGTTTCAGCTACATTTCTGATTGATTTAGACAGCAAAACAGCCACTTGTTTTAGATTAATAAAAAAAAAAGAAAGATACTTTGCATAGAGTAGAAGAAGCTTTTTTGGTGTGGTTTTCATTGTAATCCCACATATTTTGTTTTATTTCACCCGAATACTTGTTATAATGCTTACGAAATTTATTTTGACACAGAGCATCAGTAGGTGTGTAATTTTCAGCTCATGTCTGTATAATTGCTATGTGTTTTGAATGTAATGACACACCCAAAACAGGTGTCTGGATGTTTGTTCATGTCCACTGGAGCAAAGTGTCCAAATGTCAGCATCTATTTTGGTCCATTAGGAAATGACAGGTATACACAAAAAAAATATCTCTCTACATTTGAACTGTAAAACAAAATGTTCTATAAAAAAAAAAAAAAAGGCAAAGTAAACTAGCAAGTAAAGAGTTTGTCTCCTCAGGCCTCAGGATTAGTGAAACATTTTTGAGTTGCTCAGCGCATGACATTAGCTCAGAAAAACCAACATCATATTCTCCCAGAACAAGAACATTTCTCATCTGTGGCAGAACTGGATCGATCCCAGACTGTTATACAAAAGTCTGGACAACAAGCCTGGACCATGATTACTCATGTCATTATTGGGAATGAGCGTGAAATTGACAGAGACCTACTTTCCTTCAAAAGGAGTGTAAAACACCCAAGCTCTCTCTCCGAAAGCTTTTATTGCCTCGATGAACACAAAAACCTTTTTCTTCTGTCACTCAGCAGCTACAGTAAATTCTGCTTTCATTGCTGCTGTTCTTGTGCCAACTTTTTCTCTCAGCTTTCAAGTCTGTCAAATGCTTGTAAATTGTGTGACAGCAGGACACTTATCATTATGCAATTATGGCACTTAGGCTGTTCCGAACATGCCCGTGGTGCTCTGTTAGTTTTGGTATTTTTATCACTAAGCTACACATAAAGGTAAATGAGCAGCATTGATGTTATCTCTTAATTCAGGACATACATGTAGGTCATTTACTTGTTATCAGCATGAGCAGGAACAGCAGTCTGCCCCTATATTGTATTTGTGAGGGCCCCAAAGCTCAGTAGTTTTACTGTTTGAATGTTGCTCCTGTATGCACTCTGACTATCACTTTGTTTAAGAGTGAATAGTAGCAGTAATGCTTCGGTCTGGTCCTGGTTGTTGCTATAAATAGCCTCCTGCAGTCCCTGTAGGAGAGGCTGAAGTGTGGTAGGCCAGCAGGTCAAGCTGCCACATATGGGTGCTCTGGTATGTCTTGTAACACTTGTATTATTTCTGAATCCTGGCCCCTGGCAGGTTAAGGGTGTTGGAACACATTTTAGTGGCAGCAGCAGCATCACAGATTAGAGCAAATAGTGGGGGGACAGCTGAGCAAGAGCCAAGCCCGACATCGCAGATCAGAAGTCTTATAAGTCTGTGAGCATATCACTAAGTCAGTCAGTCAAGGCGAATCATCCTTGACTGTCTCATAACACGACCATAGCTCAGCCCCACCTTAAAAAGACGCCCATTGTGTCTGTCTGTGTGTGTGCTTGCAGGCGGCCTGACTGAGGATCCCTCCCATTTGGGAACCGGTGGATGCGTGACATCACCACCCTGTACCCATCCCTCCCTCCTTACTTCATTGCGACTATCCAATCACGGCCCAGGGAGCTCCGGTCACGTGAAAATCCCCCTAGTCTCGGTTACCATGACAACGAGCACTGGTCCAGGCAGCATCTTGCTGTGGTGAGAAAGAGGAGGGGAAGAAGGCGGGAGGAGAGGCAGAAAGAGAAGGGGAAAGGGAGGGAGGAAAATAGAAAGAGAACAAATCCCAGCCAGAGGAATACCTTTTGGATCATCAGCTTCTGCCTGTCTGCCCTCAGTACAGTAAGTACTTTACCTTTATTATCCTCCTTCATCAGCTTCATCACATGCGAATGAATGGGAATTTGATGCAGTCCATTGTCATCTGTGTTTGATAATGTGATATGGCAGATGCGTTTGAAGATTTCTGTGATGACATCATGTGTAATTCCTTTGTTATGTTGAGTATGTGTGCAGCCTGCCTCACCTTAGGTAGACAACCCCTTGTGTACACGCTTCATTTAGCTTCCACGGATCCTCAATGAATGGTTGATGACAAACCTCAGTGGTGAACAGAGGTGCGGTGGGAACCAAGGTGCTCGGTACAATTAGAGGCGGTTTCATAATGTGGCAAAAACTCTCTCTGATGTATTGTGATCCGGCAGCAAGCCATTCTGCTCCTGACTCATAATCCTAGCCCTTTTTTTTCTTCATTGCTTCTCCTCCAGGTCTGTCTTCCTTTTTCTTTCTTTTTCACACAAGCGTGCCCGGTTGACATCCTGTGTCCCCCTGTGGTTTGTTTAATTAGCAAATCTGTGCAAATCCAAGTAGGGCAGCTTGTTCTGATTGGAGACCTCATATGTGGAATGTCCTTGTGGTGGTGGAAGCAGTGTGCTTTCCTGGCTGCAAAGCCTCTCACATTCAAAATGTTGCTGTTTTAAATTAGCGTAGGTTTGAAGCTCATATTGCTATTGCAGTAACATGTGAGAGCTGTGATGCAACGTCACTGTTTTCAATTACATAAGACAGAGCTACAATTTTATTATGCACATAACTTTAATTGCAGATTTTTATTTTATTTTTTTCCACGCTGTAACTACTTTTCTCAATAATAATTTTAAGAAACCCTTGTTTATAGTTCCAAGAAATGATGGAGTTCCAATGAACTTACACAGGTGCCAACCCGGAGCATGAAAAAGTGTGATACAGACCCCAATTCACCATGTGCTACAGGAAGTGAGAACTTTCATGTTTTTTATACCACCCTAAAAGAAAGCATTACATAGCCCTCATAATTGGCAACCCTGGAGGTACACTAATGACTAATGATGAATGGCATTGTGGCAGTATTTTATGCTTTACTGTGCTTAATTCATTACATATCCCCTTTATCTCTCATCTGTAATTCCATTAAATATTGCTCTATTGTTTCTTCCTTTCTCTTACACAACTATGTGCAGAACATATGTTTTACACTGAAGACTTTTTAAATCACTTCTCACTTCTGTTTAATGGAAACACAAAAATATAATAGTAACAATAATGCTTCCACGTGGCTGCATTCAAGTTGAAGTTTACACATCTTTGTGAAGGATTATACAGTGAGTGCCTTGTGTCTCTCTGTGCGTGCTCTCAAAAACCAGCCACACAGGCCTATCTGTCCAGTGACAGGAGGTGACAGGAAGGTGTCCGCCTTGCTGGAGGCTCGAGAGTGAGAGAGAGACCAGGTAATCTGCAGAGCGCTGATAGTGGCAGGGTTCCTTCTTCCAGTACAGCAGTGCAAGCATAGTGTTGTACTCACTATAAATATAGATAAAAGCCTATTCCTAATCAAAGTGCATGAACATTATCTTAAGTAGTCATATTTTGAGATTGCACTGTTTCTGTTAGCCTGTGATCCAGTTGTTAGCAGTGGTTCATAGTTGAGTGGGTTTAACTAAGGGCCTGCATGTCGTTGACCTTTCTTTTGAATCATCCAAGACACTCAGGATAATCATTACAGCTTTTAATAGGTTCGTTGGATTTGCAGCCCGGGATTGCTGGATCATTGACATATACAGTATGTTTTTGTAGTATGAGGAGAAGTCTTGGATTGTATTGTGATTGAGACGGAACAAAGCAGCATATCAGTGATGCATATTTCTGTCTGTGGGAAGCAGCCACTAGACTCACTATACTGTTCCACTGTATCCATGTGATGTCTTGCTGTTTGAAAGTGATTGTTTGAAACTTATAATTTTCCCAAGTTGTAATCTTAAGTGGTTTTCCACTAAGGCAAGCTTCAGCTCCTCTAAAACCACTGCACAGTCCATGTCTATACTTTGTTAGAAAAAACAAACAAATGGGCTTTGGAATTTAGTAGGAGTTATATTGTTCATGATTCCATATGGGGAAAAGACACATGCAGACAGACACAACAGACTCATTGAGACTGAGAAATTACATGTACTACTTTATGTCACACAACTAATTAGTAAAATTCGTCCTTCTTTCAGTGTTACTAACATTTCTTGTGCAGAGGCCATGTGAAACTGGGGGCCACAAACAAACAGCTCATTGAATTACTATTATAATATGTAAGCCTCCTTTAGGGCCATCTGTTGTTGACATGTACCGCTTTAAACGTCTCATTTCAAGTAAAATCAGTATGCACAGTATGTGTACAGTCACACACAAGGTATATCGGAAATCTTCTACAGTAAAAGAGAATTTAAAAAATATCTCTGCTTTTCGGCTTTCATGTAAAATCCCGCCCGCCTTTCCCTGTTGTGTAAACCAGTCTAATGTTTCTGACACCATGTGAAGGCAGCAGTACTGCTGCGTCACGTTGGAAAAGACCAATCGGATTAAACTGAGTTAAAACGCGCAGGCTCACTCCAAGTAGTAGTGGGGGTATCACACCTAACATGTTAAAGGAGGTCAGGTAAATGCTAACATTACACAATTTCGTCCGAATTAACAGTATAAAGTATTACTTTCCTGCATAAGTCACAGTGAAATGAATGAGTTAGCATCGTTTCTTTACCGTGTTGTTATTTATAGACGTGCTCTGTCCCCCCTCCTTGTCGTTCTGGTGGTTTGGACCGATCTCTCTCTGTCAGTTTCAAGTTGCGCCTTCTCCTCCACTGTGTGGCTCCCTGTTCTGGCCTGAACAAGCATTGCCCATTAAATAATAGACCAGTACTGTGGATTTTACCGGGAAATCTGCGTTTACAAACGGACATGGATTCATTTCGGCGACATATGAGTGGATTATAAACACATCAGATTTAAAGGTGAGAAGAGATGTTCCTCTCGATCGCTTGGCAAACACGGTGCATTTTTAACGTTACCCTGAGATCCGCGGACTTCACCTCTGCACGTTTGGGAATGTCACGGTCTGGTGGTTTTAATAGAGCTACTAACGGTTTAACTACACGGCCCTGTGATAAATCAGACAGTTTCATTTGCATAGTACATGGATATTTCTGTAATGTTGCAACCCCCCGTTTTTGAAGCAGTTTAGATCTCAGCCTGTTACAAGATCGGATGGGATAGTCTGTGGAATGTGGTGCATAGTGGCATATACACTCCTGATCAATTATACTGAGATATCCTAATCTTGATCATAACCCTGTAGTCCAAAAGCGTGTTTCCTACTAAAAACAATACCTGAATTGGTATTATTGAAGTGGAAAGGGACATAGTAATTCAGATATGCATCATTCAGACAGCGTGTCACCTTAGTTTTTGAACTTCCCTGGACGTTTGACATCCTTTTTTTGTTGCAGTAACAGAGGTACAACTTAGTTGGGTGAAGGGATTAGTTAATTACCTGTACCTGATTCGGCTCTCAGGGGAGAATATCTGTTGTTATTGTCAGTGTTTTATCTGTATATGAAACATTCCTGCAACCCTATGACAATATTTTACAAATATTTGTTGAATAGTAGTATACAGCATCAGAAGTAGTTCCTATGTTGTGTTAGAATCTAATAAAGTACAACAGGTGTATGCTGGTCAGTTTTCCTGTTGAAGCCAAGTGGTGACAGTTTCTATGTTCCACTTAGGAGTCTTTTCTCTCTGATTTCTTTATTGAGGAGTTTTTAATTTAGCTACTTGTTTTCACAGTCTTGTCCAGAAACTGAGTTATGCAAATGCTTGACGCAAGGAAGTAGGTAATCTGTGATGATGTTGCTGCTTAAACAGTCTGAGGGGTGTGCTGTTGTTTTGATGCACAGTACCACATTTATTTTCTCCATAACACAGACCAACACCTGTGTAACAGGCCTGGGATTCCCAAGTCAGTCAAATCTTCCTCCTGATCCCTTAGTCATGCATGCTTTTATTTGATGCTTCTGCTTTTGGTCTTGTTGGCTGGCTGCACACTGACCTCAACAATAACAACAATACCATATTATTCCAGCTGACCCAGATTGGGCCATACGTCAACACACAGCAACAAGAGTCAGTCTGTGGCTAAATGGAGCGGTGAGGTACTGACCTGACAGGCATTTCCCCTGGACAAAGACTCTTATCCTGTCTCAGCTGAGTGATGGAGCATTTGTTGTATCGATCAATGATACTGACCTTTTGTTGCATTTCATCCACCTCCTTTTTCGGCTGTAGAAACTCCAGCAATGCTAGACTTGGGACATCTTCTGTGAGGTCACAGGGTGTTGTGGGGCAAGCTGATGTAGTAGGGAAGGTGACTGCTTGGTGACTGACTCAGCACTGTTAAAAACTGAAGAAGACTGCAGTCTGGCTTTCTGGAGAGGAGCTAGGTCAACATGTAGTCTTCAGCATCTTCTGCAACATACAGTATATTAACATTGGTGCAGAGGCAGTGTTGTGTCAGTTCTATGTTTTGCAGTTTTCTGGAGCTGATCAAAACTGCCTTAAATTCCTTTTCTCAAATTAACATAACTTTCCAAAATCTCTCTTCAAAAATCACATTACTTTTTATTTATCATTCATGAAAGAGGCAAACCAAAAACTACAAATAAACCCCCATGTCAACTTAATTTTGAAAGTTATATTAGCACAACACAGTAGCATAGGACTGGATTATGATGAAATACCCTGAGGTGGTAGAAATTGGGTAGAGATTCATCAACTGTGGGCAGTGTTGCAAACAAAAACTGATTTATGGCAGTGTTGGATTTCAAGGACTTCTGTGTCACTGTGATTTTACATGTATAAAATTAAATTGATTGGCCAAAGACGAACAGGTCCATCTCAGTTTCTGAGTAAAATGTTGCACTACATCAAAATAATGTGTATATACTGTATATATATTGATGTTGTGAAGAAAAAAAATATAC